TCCATATACAGTGGACCCCCGCATAGCGAACGCCTTGCATAGCGAACAATCCGCATAGCGAACGCTTTGTTCGCTAAAATTTTGCCCCGCATAGTGGACAAAAACCCGCTCAGCGACCTTCGTCCGAGACGCGTCCAATGTGGGCCCTCAGCCAGCCTCACATGTGCCGCCCGTCCCATTGTTTACCAGCTAGCCTCCGCGGTAACATTCAAGCATACACTCGGAATATTTCGTATTATTACAGTGTTTTCGGTGCTGTTTGTGGAAAATAAGTGACCATGGGCCCCAAGAAAGCTTCTAGTGCCAACCCTACACCTCAAAGGGTAAGAATACCCATTGAAATTAAGAAAGAGATCATTGATAAGTATGAAAGTGGAGTACGTATCACCGACCTGGTCAGGTTGTACAAGAAACCAAAATCAACCATCGCTTCTATTGTGGGCAAGAAAACGGCAATCAAGGAAGCTGTTGTTGCCAAAGGTTTAACTGTGTTTTCGAAACAAAGATCGCAAGTGATGGAAGATGTTGGGAGACTGTTATTGGTGTGGATAAATGAAAAACAGCTAGCAGGAGATAGCGTCTCTCAAGCGATCATATGTGAAAAGGCTAGGAAGTTGCATGACGATTTAATTAAAAAAATGCCTGCAACTAGTGATGATGTGAGTGAATTTAAGGCCAGCAAAGGTTGGTTTGAGAGATTTAAGAAGCGTAGTGGCATCCATAGTGTGATACGGCATGGTGAGGCTGCCAGTTCGGACCACAAAGCGGCTGAAAAATATGTGCATGAATTCAAGGAGTACATAGAAACTAAAGGGACTGGAACCTGAACAAGTGTTTAATTGTGATGAAACAGGCCTGTTCTGGAAGAAAATGCCAAGCAGGACCTACATTACTCAGGAGGAAAAGGCACTCCCAGGACATAAGCCTATGAAAGACAGGCTTACTTTGTTGATGTGTGCCAATGCTAGTGGTGATTGCAAAGTTAAGCCTTTATTAGTGTATCACTCTGAAACTCCCAGAGCGTTCAGGCAAAAGAATGTCCTCAAGGATAATTTGTGTGTGCTGTGGAGGGCAAACAGTAAGGCATGGGTCACTAGGGAATTTTTCTATAACTGGTTACACCATGCATTTGCCCCCAATGTGAAAGATTACCTAACTGAAAAGAAATTAGACCTTAAGTGCCTCCTGGTGTTAGACAATGCCCCTGGTCATCCTACAGACGTGGCAGAGCGACTTTATGGGGACATGAGCTTCATTAAGGTGAAGTTTTTGCCTCCTAATACCACTCCTCTCCTGCAGCCCATGGACCAGCAGGTCATTTCCAACTTCAAGAAACTGTACACAAAAGCTCTGTTTCAAAGTGCTTTGAAGTGACCACAGACACTGGATTGACTCTAAAAGAGTTTTGGAAGGATCACTTTAATATCCTCAGTTGTGTAAACCTTATAGGTAAGGCTTGGAGGGAGTGACTAAGAGAACCTTGAACTCTGCTTGGAAGAAACTGTGGCCAGAATGTGTAGACAAAAGGGATTTTGAAGGGTTTGAGGCTAACCCTGAGAGGAGTAGTATACCAGTTGAGGAATCAATTGTGGGAATTGGGGAAGTCCTTGGGTTGGAGGTTAGTGGGGAGGATGTGGAAGAGTTGGTGGAGGAGGACAATGAAGAACTAACCACTGATGAGCTGATAGATCAACTTCAAGAGCAAGAGGCCAGACCTGGGGAAACTGGTTCAAAGGAGGGGAGAGAGAAATTGAAGGAATTGCCTACTTCAAAGATTAAGGAAATGTGTGCAAAATGGCTTGAAGTGCAAACCTTTTTTGATGAAAATCACCCTCACACAGCTATTGCAAGCCGTGCTGGTGACTGTTACAATGACACTGTTGTGAACCACTTTAGACAAATCATAAAGGAACGAGAGGTACAGGCCACTATGGACAGATATGTTGTGCGAAAGAAGTCCAGTGACTCTGAAGCTGGTCCTAGTGGCATTAAAAGAAGAAGGGAAGTAACCCCAGAAAAGGACTTGCTACCTCAAGTCCTAATGGAAGGGGATTCCCCTTCTAAACACTAACACTCTCTCTCCCCTCCTCCCATCCCATCAATCATCACCAGATCTTCAATAAAAGTAAGTGTCATGTAATTGTGCATGCCTTTTTCAGTTTGTGTGTACTAAAATTAACATTTTTTTGTGGTAAAAAATTTTTTTTTTCATACTTTTGGGTGTCTTGCACGGATTAATTTTATTTCCATTATTTCTTATGGGGAAAATTAATTCGCATAGCGAACATTTCGCATAACGACCAGCCCTCTTGCACGGATTAAGTTCGCTATGCGGGGGTCCACTGTACTCTTCCCTCCTTGCATCACTTCTACTTTGTAAAAACTTCTCATATGCTAACTTTTTCTACCTTACTACTCTCTTTACATCATCATTCCACCAATCGCTCCTCTACCCTCCCGCACCCACTTTCCTGTAACCACAAACTTCTGCTGAACACTCTAACACTACATTTTTAAACCTACCCCATACCTCTTCGACCCCATTGCCTATGCTCTCATTAGCCCATCTATCCTCCAATAGCTGTTTATATCTTAACCTAACTGCCTCCTCTTTTAGTTTATAAACCTTCACCTCTCTCTTCCCTGATGCTTCCATTCTCCTTGTATCCCATCTAACTTTTACTCTCAGTGTAGCTACAACTAAAAAGTGATCAGATATATCTGTGGCCCCTCTATAAACATGTACATCCTGAAGTCTACTCAACAGTCTTTTATCTACTAATACATAATCCATGTATTTTTTTTTTTTTCAACAAGTCGGCTGTCTCCCACTTTCGTTTTTTTCTTTTGGGCCACCCCACCTCAGTGGGATACGGCCGGTGTGTTGAAAGAAAGATCATTATAAATCTATCAAGAGTAGTTACAGTAGGGCCCCGCTTTACACCGTTCCGCTAATACGGCAATTTCAAATTATAACCAAAATTTACCATACGGCAAGCATTCTTTCAAATATGGTGTGCCCAACCCCATTTGTTTACATTCTCTGTGAGCACATCTATTTTGTCTGTAAACTTGCCAAAATTTCAAGTGTTTTTAGGTTATTGTATATTTTATATGTACTCCGATAATTATGCTTATGTGTACCTGTACCTAAATATACTTACACACTGTGCTGGCATGTAGGTACACATTAAAATTACTAAGAATCTCTCTACTCATGACGCCATAGAAATACTACGTAATAATAATCTCTCTTGGGCACATTAAATGTCTTATTTTACGTTAATATAGACATTTTCATTAAACCATCTATGATATTTTCTTCAAAATTATATAAGAAACACATTACATAGCATATAAACATTATACATACACCCACAGAATAAAAATTGACATAAATATGAGATCTGTTTACAAAGCGGCTTTGTATGAGTGTCGGAAGAATTACGTTTTCTCTAGTCAAACGCTGGGGGACAACTGTAGATAAATATTCCTTTCGTATGCCTTCACTCTATATATAGCAATTCATGACCCTTGTGGGTTTAGTGCTTCTATTTTTATTATGATTATAATAATAACTTGCAATAATAATTTGTAATAATAATAATTTGTAATAACAACAATAATAATTAATAATATAATAATAATTTATCAGAGCATCATTCCTTTTAAAAATTACATGAGAATGAAGTCTTGGTCTTTATATATTCTACTGTATCACTGTGGAGACAACTTGTACACAATGTAAAGTGTTTGTATGAATGTTTATGAACCATAACCAGAAGCATCATCTGTTTGTTTACATAGTGGTTGGGGCGGGGCGGGGCGAGCGGCCGGGCAGCCGGCCAGCTAGCCAGATATGCCCAATTCTTTTGCTACAATAATTATTTTTTCCATTACTACACCTTATTTTACTTTTAAAAAGAAATACATACTTTATAATCTACATATTTTAATTGTGTGTGTTATAATACAACCTATTTATATTAAAATACAGAGTTTGGCACAATTGACTTTTTCTCCATAAAGTTGATCTGCTCTCATGACAGAATTAAAGCAGTTGTGCCCCCAGTAGTTCAATATAATAAGGTATTCCCAAGTGAGTTACTGTTACTTAGTTACATAAATACATGTTGGGTCCTATAGCCTCATAACAGTAAACACATTTCCAGGCTGTACAAGAATGATATACAATACCAACAAGATGAAAATTAAGACACATGTGCAACATCTGGGTATCTTTACTGTAGAAGTTTTGCCATCCAGTGGCTTCATCAATACAAATTCTAGGACATAATTTGAAGACAGCAGAACTACATACAGAAGATGAAGTAATCAGTCCCTCGGTGTGAAGAGCACCATAGGTGCTCTTCACACCGAGAACAAGAGCTAGTAAGAAAACAGAAGAAAACCTAGAGGGGTATGTATATATATGCAAGGGCATGAAGTGCAGTGTGACCTAAGTGTAAGCAGAAGTATCAAGACATACCTGAAACCTTGCATGTTCATGAGACAGAAAAAAGACACCAGCAATCCTACCACTGTGTAAAAACAATTAGGACGGTAGTATCTCCCTGAGTGGCTGATATCTATCAGCCTACTACCTGGAATAGATATATTTATCCTCAAGTAAATAAATGCATTCACTTATTCCACACTTCTTCCTTCCATTCTAATATCTTACTCTCTCATTCCTCATACCTACCTTTTTATGCTTATCATCTTGGTGCATTTGAATCCATTTTCAACCTCTTCCTTTTACATATCTTAACTCCTCTGCTATTCTGCATATTTATTATTAATTTATCTAAAAATGATTTATCCTTCTATATTTAACACAAAAAACAAATACGTACTTTGTGATATTCTCTATCTATTCAACTCTTGACTGAAGGTGGTAATCTCAAAGGTAATTTCATAGTACAGTATTAAATGGAGAAATAATTCTAATTTAAAGATTATTTTTACAATTAAAAAAAAAAAATTCTTGCTTTGGTTACTATACCTGTAAAAGCAGCATTGGATGTCTTAGCTGCACATTGTCGTGTTTCTTCATGTTGTGGCCACATTGCCAGCAGCTCCTCTTGTGAGAAAAGAGCTTTGAGAGGAGGACACATTTTGATAGCTGGGATGAGCACTTCTTTAATGTTTGAGGTTAGGTTAAGTGTCATCAAGAACAAGCGTATCCTTTCTTTATGGGAGTTAGTAAGTTTTGAAAACTTAGCAGCCAGAACCTGAAAGATTGATTAACTGGGTTAAAATTGATCAAGGTTATTACTTATTAAAGGACAGTCACCCCACAAATTTTTGGGCTACCTTATTTGCAGCTTTTGATTATCTACAAGCTTTCCTGATGGACAACCTGCAAAGTTTTGACTGTCCGTGAGTTTCTGCTGGGAAATCAAGTGCGTGAAATTTGGACACAAAGCTAAATAGAGATTTTCAGCCTTCCTGCTCTGCAGCCAAGTGTCCCTGCATAGTTGCAGGCAGTGAGGTCTATGTGGTTACAGCTGGTTAACTCCTCACCCTCCCTCCTTCCCACACACTCATTCACAAATATATTTTACAAAATTACACATAAAGTGGGGCATAATTTGAAATCACTGCTAATACGGTGATTTCAAATTATGACCAAAATTTGCTATACGGCAAGCGGTCTTTCAAAAATGGCACACCCCACCCGGTTTGTTTATACTCTCTGTAAGCACATATCTCTATTATATGTGGAAATTTTCCAAAATTTCAAGTGTTTTAAAGTTATTGCATATTTTATATGTATGTGTACCTGTACCTAAATATACTTACACACTGTGCTGGTGTGCAGGTACACATTAATATTACTAAGAGTTTCTCTACTCTTGAAGACGCGCATTAAATGTCATATACAGTGGAACCTCAAATTTCGTACTTAATCCGTTCCAGGAGCTAGTTCTAAATTCGGAAAGTCTGAAATTCGAAGCAATATTTCCCATAAGAAATAATGGAAATACAATTAATCTGTTCCAGAAACCCAAAAATATTCACAAAAAAAAAAAATATTTTATAGAGATTAATTACAGTTTTACATACACACAACAAATTATGTATAGTAATATAAAATAACATTTTTACTTACCTTTATTGAAGTTTGGTGATGGCATCTGGAAGATAGGGAGGAGGAGAGAGGGAGTTGGGGTTATTGTTTGGAAGGAGAATCCCCCTCCATGAGGACTTCCGGTATCAAAGCCCTCTCTGGGGTTGCTTCCCTTCTCTGTATTTTAATGCCACTAGGACCAGCTTGAGAGTCATTGGACCCCAGTCTCACAAAATAACTGTCTACAGTCCTCTGTTTCTGTCTCACAGAATAACTATCCACAGTTGTCTGTTTCTGTCTCACAAAATAACTGTCCACAGTCGTCTGTTTCTGTCTCACAAAATAACTGCCCACAGTCTGTTTCTGTCTCACAAAATAACTGTCCACAGTCCTCTGTACATCCTGGCAAGCTCAACAAGTCTCACTCCAATCTCATACTTCTGTATTATTTCCTTCTTCACATCTATGGTGTTTCTCACTTTCTTTACCACAAGGGTACCGCTAGCAAGTTTCTTTGGGCCCATGGCAACTTATTTCACAGCCCCACAAGCACTAAACACAATTAAATAATCGTAAAATGTGTGAATGAGATCGCAGGTTAGTGTTCACTCAAGCATAAACAAAGCTAGACTGCTCACAGTGCCTGCGCAGGGACGCGGACAGAGCGGGCCAGCGGACAGGTTCCGTACCCGGCGGTCCGAAAATAGGGGCGCATTCGATAATAGGGACACAGTTTGTCCGAAAAAATGGTCTTATTTTCGAAACGTTTAATATGTGATCGTTCGATTTTTGAGGTTCCACTGTATTACACTAATATAGACATTTCTATTAATCCATCTATGATATTTTTTCCAAAATTATATAATAAACATGCTACATAACATATAAACATGATACATACACCCACAGTGTAAAAATTGACATACAGTGTACCTCCGACCAACGAAGGCATCGTCTAATGATAAATTCAACTAACGAAGCGTTTAAACGTAGAAATTTTGGCCCGACCAATGATGAAAAGCCTGACCACCAACATGATTCATCCCGAACGCATCCACGTGTCTCATCTGGCCTGAGTGCGCCTTAGCTGCCTTGCCTTCAGTTAGTGTGCCAGTGTTTACAAGCCAGTGCGGTCGCATCCACGCATACATTCGGTACATTTTGTATTATTCCAGTGTTTTTAGTGCTTGTAACTGCTAAATAGCCCACCTTGGGCTCCAAGAAAGCTTCTAGTGCCAACCCTGTCATAAAAAGGCTGAGAATTACAATTGAAATGAAGAAGGAGATCATCACAAAGTATCAAACTGGAGTGCGTGTCTCCAAGCTGGCCAGGTTGTATAACAAACCCCAATCAACCATCGCTACTATCTTGGCCAGCAGAAACTCAATCAAGGAAGCTGTTTTTGCGAAAGGTGCAAGTATGTTTTTGAAACAGATCTCAAGTACTTGAAGATGTTGAGAGACTGTTATTGGTGTGGATAAACGCAAAACAGATATCAGGAGATAGCATCTCTCAAGCGATCATGTGTGAAAAGGCAAGGCAGTTGCATGAAGATTTAATTAAAAAAAAAATGCCTGCAACTAGTGGTGATGTGAGTGAATTTAAGGCCAGCAAAGGTTGGCTTGAGAGATTTAAGAGTCATAGTGGCATACACAGTGTGATAAGGCTGACAGTTCTGACCAAAAAGCAGCTGAAAAATATGTGCAGGAATTCCAGGGGTACATATAGGCTGAAGGATTGCAACCCCAACATGTGTTTGTGACAGGAAGAAAATGCCAAACAGGACCTACATTACACAGGAGGAAGAAGCACACCCAGGACACAAGCCTATGAAGAACAGGGTTACTTTAATGTTGTGTAGTAATGCTAGTGGGGATTGCAGAGTGAAGCCTCTACTCATGTATCACTCTGAAACTCCCAGTGTGTTCGGGGAAAAACAATGTCGTCAAGGCTAATTTGTGTGTGATGTGAAGGGCAAACAGTAAAGCATGGGTCACTAGGGACATTTCCTATGACTGGTTTCATCATGTGTTTGGCCCCACTGTGAAAAATTACCTCCTGGAAAACAAATTGGACCTTAAGTGCCTCCTGGTATTAGACAATGCTCCTGCTCATCCTTCAAACTTGCCAGAGCGAATTTCGGGGAAGGTGAGCTTCATAAAAGTGAAGTTTTTGTCTCCTAATACCACTCCTCTCCTCCAGCCCATAGACCAGCAGGTCATTTCAAATTTCAAAAAAGCTGTACACCAGAGTAATATTTCATAAGTGCTCTGAAGTGACCTCAGACACTCGATTGACCCTAAGAGAGTTTTGGAAATATCACTTTAGTATCCTCAATTGCATAAACCTTATAGGTAGGGCTTGGGAGGGAGTGACTAAGAGAACCTTGAACTCCACTTGGAGGAAATTGAGGCCAGAATGCATACAAGAGAGGAATTTTGAAGGGTCTGGGGCTAACCCTGAGGAGCCTATGCCAGTTGTGGAATCTATTGTGGCATTTGGGAAGTCCATGGGGTTGGAGGTTAGTGGGGAGGATGTGGAAGAGTTGGTGGAGGACGACAATGAAGAACTAACCACTGATGAGCTGAAAGAGCATCTGCAACAGCAAGAGGCCACAACTGAGGAAATTGCTTCAGAGGAGGGGAGAGAGAAATTGAGGAAGTTGCCTTCTTCAATGATTAAGGAAATGTGGACAAAGGTGCAAACCTTTATGGAGGAAAAATCACCCTGACAGCTATTGCAAGCCGTGCTGGTGACTTTTCCAATAACAATGTTGTGAACCACTTTAGGAAAATCTTAAAGGAATGCGAGGTACAGAGCTCTATGGACAGATTTTTGGTATGACAGAGGTCCAGTGACTTTCAAGTTGTTCCCGGTGCATTAAAAAACAAAGAAGGGAAGTAACCCCAGAAGACTTGCTACATAAAGTCCTCATGGAGGGGGATTCCCCTTCCAAACAATTGCAAACTCCTCCATCATCTCCCCTCCTCCTGTCTAATCACTCATAACTACATCTTCAATAAAGGTAAGTCTCATTTATTCTTCATTTAGTACAGTACATTATTTATTGTGCATGTATCCTTCTTTTTCTGTGTAGGAAAATGTATATTTCATGTGAATTTATTTTTTTCATACTTTTGGGTGTCTTGCACGGATTAATTTGATTTCCATTATTTCTTATGGGGAAAATTGATTCACTTTCCGATAATTTTGGTTTACGTTGAGCTCTCAGGAACGGATTAATATCGTGAACCGGGGGTCCACTGTATTACAATATTGCATAACAGTAAATCTTCTATTTTTTGGTGTGAATAAAAATTCATTATGTGAATAAAAAATCAAAATGGAATTTATTTGTAAAGCCTCAAAACGTAACTAATGAATAGAGGAAATGTTAGTTTAGTGCCAGGAATACCTACATTGTTTATTCTGGACCCTATTTTGAAATTGGAATATTTTGAACTTTGTGTTAAATTGGCCAAATTACCAATTTCCAATCACTTTATTTTGTAGTTGAAACAGTTGACTTGGCGATTTATTGTGCTCAATCGACAGAAGTAATACTAGTGAAATAGCTAGAATTTGGTCGACTGGAATAATGTAACTAGCCTAAAATGGGAGTCAAAGTCAGCAAAATCGCCGATTCGTAAATATCGCTGACACATCAAAATTCGCGAGAGCATAATTTCGTCAATTTTCCATCAAATTTCACACTTTTTGTTTTATTACCTTCACAAAAAGATTCTCTACCATTTCATAAGAAAAAATAACAATTTTTTTTTTTGAAAATTCTTGAACACTGGGGCACCACTTCAGATTTTGGCCTTCGACCCTGAAAGGGTTAATTAGTTCCAGAAAGTCGGTCGAAATCCAAAATGGGCAAAAACATAAGTAATATTTCCTGTGAGAAATAATGTAAATCCAATTAATCTGTTTTAAATACCCAAAAATATTGAGAAAAAAACACTTTTATAGAGAATAACTATAGTTTTACATACAGAAAACAATGAGAAATAAATATAAAGCACTAATGAAATGGATAAATGAACATTTAACCCCTTGACTGTCACAACCCCCAATCCTGAAGTGTCTCCTGGTGTTGCAAAACTTCAAAAAAAAAAAAATTGTTTTTTCTTATGAAATGATAGAGAATCTTTTCC